AACCTCCAGAAAATGTAACTCTTTCTGTAATTGCTTGTTATGCACCAGCAACAGCAACAACAATTGTAACTAGTGGTACTGTTCCACCAAGTGTTAGTGGATCTACACCAACATTGACAATCAGTTCAACAAGTACAGGTGTAACGCCAGGTAAAGGATATGTATAATTATGCAATTGCGAAAAATATGCAGAAAGTAAAAAGGGAAGTGATTTTACCTTGGAAATGAGAAGAGTTATGTGGTTGTGATCCCAGAAGTAATATGTTTGCTTTGCCTTCTGGTGGAAGTTCCATTCTCTTGTATGGACATCATTACCCTCACAAAAAAAAATTATATGAAAACACGTTCGAACGGAAACTTCCATAGAAAAGAACGCTGGTTTTGCGTTTAAACGCATCTTCTTTTGTATGAGACGCATCTAAACGCATCGGCTTTTCTTTGCAACGCGTTTAAATGGATCTTGTTTTATTTACAACGCGTTTTTTTAACCTAAATTGCTACTGAAGAACATCGTTCGAACAGGTTTTATTTTATTTGTTATGACGCGTTTATTTGTTGTGCGTCTTAATGAGTTTTTTTATTTCTTTTGCTGAAAACATCATCTTTTTACAAAGGCACCTAAGCGCAAATTTTTCAACGCGTTTCACGGGAAAACGGTTTTTTTAAATGTAGGTGTTCGAGCGTGCATGTCAATTTATGCTTTTTCTGGTAAAAACGAGGCTTCTACTAGCACGTTAGAACACATTTTTGAATACATTTGTTATAGAGCAAGTGATTAATTTCTCAAGCGGGTTGAAAGAATGTTTTAGTTCGTGTCTTGAGTAAAAATATCTGTATAGGACGCAAAAGTCTGCTAGTGTTCAGAAAAAAACATCACAGATACTTTTATCTTCTCTCTACATCTAGTGGTGCAGTATTACTTATAGAACTTCTATGATCTATATTCTTAATAATTTCTTCCTTATCATTTTGTATTTGTTTCTGTAATCCTTTCCTTTAGAATTAGTTAGATGGAGGCTTTGTAAATATTTTTTTGTTTTTTTTTTGTTTTCTCTATTACCGATAAAAACTTTTTCATATAACTGAAATATGTTTATCTTAAAAGCACAGCGAAATGTTGAAGGAAGAACGAGTTCTTAGAGCTTCGGACTATGTTGCTATTGTTAGTCTGAAAGAATTCAATGGCTTTTTTAATTGAATTTTACATATGGATGACAAAGACTGCACTAAAAATAGGCATACCAAAATCGATATGCCAAATTTCTATTTCCCTCTAGTTTCATTCACAGATCAATTGAATGATAAAATAAATTATTTTTAAAAATAAATATAAATTATTATCTTTTATACTTGAAATAAATTAAATATTTTTTTTTTGAAAACTTTATATTTTCGTAATGGAATTTTTTTTCAAATATAAGTTAAAACAAGAATATTTATATTTATTATAAATATAAAATATAATAAATTAATTTACTAAAATTGTATATCACAAAAATTCAATCTATTTTTTTATATAAATTATAAAAAATTGTGTATTTCAATTTTTTAAATAATAGGAAAAGATAAACCTAATTTTATAGTAAAAATTTCGTAGAAAATTATTTCTTAATTTAAGTAGAAAATTCAACAGTTTCACAAATGTGTAAGTATAGTCTAGTGGTATATTCTAGGCTTCGTAATTACAGGTTCGTCTAGTCGAATCTGATCTACAGTAACAAATAGATGTATTGCAACGCGTTCAGTATGAACTACAGCTACAGTAGATCGATAGACGAATATCCTCCCAGAACCAGATACGAATTCTGAAAAAGCTCGTTGAAGACAATGACTGAGTTGAAAATAACATTCTTTTGTTCAAAAATTTTAGGTCTCCTTAGTCTTCTGGAACGCTTTTTGTTACTTCGAAAAACGAGTTTCAACACATCTTAAAAATTGCGCGTTAAGTCTAGCGAAAACATACGAGCTAACAAAAAAAGATCTTTCGACGCAAAATTTTGTACATTTTTTTTTCCTGAGTCAGTCAATGAGTCAGTGAGAAAAAGATTTATATCAATTAACTTCTTTCGGTTTGTATCCAGAAAAATGTCTGACTGACCAGAGCTGCCCAAAATACTCCAAGTATTCGTACTCGAGTACGACTTTTGTAGTACTCGTACTCGAGTACGACTTTTGTAGTACTCGTACTCGAGATGTCGGTTTTCTTACGGGCACTCGTACGCGAAGGGTTGGTACCCTTGGTGGTACTCGCACTCGGGGGGTCAGTAGTCATACTCGTACACCTACTCGAGAAAACCCGTACTTGCCCAGCACTGTGACTGACTATCAGGAATCATGTACCCTGAAGCAGCTCGTTCGCTATAAAACTCAATCGATTTAAGCGTTTTCCATTTGTTTGGCATGATTTATCGAAGCGAGCGGCGTTTGCTGAAATTTCGTGTGATAATACGACAATATGGTTTGTGCATAAGAGTTTTCGAAATATGTGTCAACCAGCCAAAAATGTGACAATTCGTATTTACCATGCAACAAAATATTTCCTTTCCCTTTCGCGCCAAAGTCTTACAATTTCTGATATTCAGGTGTTTTCGAGAGTTGAAAATCGTCAGTTTCGTCGACAACCTCTTTTTAATCTATACTCTATACTCCAACCTCTGTTTCACTGCTACCTTGATCGATTGTGATAGATTGACAGGTTTAGAATGCAAACACATGTCAGCCGGTTGATGACTTCAAAACTTCCAGTCATTCCTCTCAACAATAAAAACTGATCTGCTTCACACTACCGACAGAACACAGTTTCGTGAACCAGTTCTTTTGTTAGAATTGGATCAAGAGACCAAGCCTTTCCAGAAAAAACTGGATGCGTGATACAAGTTTAGATGCTTGAATACATGTTGGCATCGGTATAGTAAGCTTCTATGGTTCCATCTTTCGAAACGCACTAGATTTCCGTAAAGTGAAAATGATATTTCGAGATGTTAATTAAAACAAATGTTCCATAATCATGACATCAGTCACAAACCTACGCGATTTGATTGTTCATTAACAAATAAGAGTTTTTTTCGATTTTTAGCTGCTACAACATTGGAAGAAACTACTAAATACACAGGTGGTTCCTTTGCATCTACTCCATCGGCTACGTTCATAGTACCTTCTACAGCATCAAGTACAATGAAAAATTAATCACACTCACACTTACTATACATACTGTTTCTTATATTTTAGTCCCTCCAAGTACACCCAAGACATCTATAGAACAAACTCAAAAGACAAGCAAAGCTATGACAACAACTCTGATTTGTCCACTCACGGAAGGTACGGATTCTTAAATAGGTTAATTCTTTAATTGGAAACATTATTCTCAAAATATTCCGCTGTTTGCAATACAAACATTCTTCTTTTTCCATATCTGATGATATTACTTGATGCTTAACAAATCTATTTGTAGGCATGGATAATCCTCAATATATCAATAATCCAACAATTGTTGGAGCTCCGTCATCAACTTCTCCATTGGATATCAATCCAGGCTCTGCTGGTGTTGATTTCACTGAAGTGAACCCTTCTGTAATTATACCATTTGCACCAGGAACAACACCAATTATAGTCACAGTTTCTGTACCAAACACAAATACAAATGTTGATAAAATAACAGTTACTATCACAGAACCAACTGGTACAACTATAGTCAATCAAGTATCACCTGGCGATACAAACACAGTTGATACTTTTCCTATCACACCATTACCTGAGAATAGTACAATGACAGTAACTTTTGGAACAAATAATGGACAACCTCCAGAAAATGTAACTCTTTCTGTAATTGCTTGCTATACGCCAGCCACAGCAACAACAATTGTAACTAGTGGTACTGTTCCACCAAGTATCAGTGGATCCACACCCACATTGACAATTAGTTCAACAAGTGCTGCTTTAACAGAAGGTAAAGAATATATATAGTTATCATCTTAGAAGAAATATAGAAGAACTTAAGATCAAAGTGAGTGTGTCTTCAACAAGACAACTCCTCTCTTCTTGCGATGGATGAGTGAGAATTTTGCTGTATTTTCTTTACTCAATTCCATGTTTTTCATCATTCTCATGAGATAGCATTCCGTGAGTAAGAAATGCGCGTCAAATAATTTCCCTTGCTCTCTATAATGCAAAACATTCAAAGCAACTAAAAGCAATGGTCTATTCTCGTGCAATTATTTCGTATAATATTCAATCAAATCTATATTCTGGAGCTCTTTCCCTGGTTATTGAAACCTTTTTGTTGGAATTGCTCCAATATTCTTATAAAATCCTAGAATATAGTTTCGATATTTGAATTTGGGAATTACATGTCAAGCAGCCTCAATAGTGTAACTCGAATGCAGGACTTGCGAAGTTTTCTCTTGTCTCGTGTGTGCACGTGCTTCGGTTGCTAGAAGCTAAGGGTTCTTGTTTTGATCATAACCGTCAGTTTCACGGATAATCTTTTCTCCATGATATTCTCAACTTCAACCTGGATTCTGCTACTCTTTTCATGAAGCCTCATCGTTTCAAAGATATAGCTTGAAAAAACATGACATTCGTTAAATCATTACAAACTTGAAACCATTACTATGAAGCAAAAGAAATCAGTCACTTGTACAAGTGTAGCATGTCACTGTTCTATGAATTCGACTTTGTTGTTCGACAAGTGGGTCTACTAGCAACTTCTTTTAGCAGACCTATGTCGGGAGACCACTTCTTTTTCTATTCACTGAGTGAACTCATAAGGATAATAGTAATGTAACAATCTTTCTATCACTTCCTTTCCATCTCAATCAAAGAAGTAGTTATCACTTTCATTTTCTTTCAAAATCACGGGTTACCTGATAGTAGTTCAATTTCTTGATCATGAGCTGTCATAGGTGTAATGAGATTATTTTGTTATACCTTTCGAAGGGAACTATGTTTCCATCAAATAGAGATGATGCTTGCAGATATTTGTTAAATGTATGCAGCATGGCAATAACGTCAACTAGAAGTCTTTTTTATTTGTTTCGACATGAACAGAAAGCACACTATTTTAATTTTCAGCATCTACAACAACAGGACAAACTACCAGATACATAGGTAGTACGTTTGAATCTACTCCATCGACAACGTTCACAATGCCTTCTACAGGATCAAGTACAATTAAACTTTCTAACAGCCGCGCTTAATATGTGGAATATTTGTTATTTTCTAGCTCCATCAAGTGCATCGCAAGTATATACCGAAGAAAGTCGAAAGACAAGCGAAGCTATGACAACAACTCTGATCTGTCCGCTCACAGAAGGTACGGATTCTTGAACAGAGTGATTGTTTTTTGAGAAACAATCCTTAGGAAAGATTGTATTGTCTGGAAAAAAGTCATACACTTTTTTTCTCATTTCTAATAATACAGTAGGACACTGAACAAATGTATTTTAGGTATGAATAATCCACAATACACGAATAATCCAATAATCAATGGCGCTCCATCTACAACATCCTCATCAGATATTAATCCAGGTTCTGATGGTGTTGATTTCATTGAAGTGAATCCTTCTGTAACTATACCATTTGCACCAGGAACAACACCAATTATAGT